TTTCATGTGTCTCTCAGTCGTTGATCTGCATGGGTGCTCTGGCTTGGCGTCCGTGAGCAATGCCCGTGGTCCTCTGGGTTTTGGTTTTCTTGCTTGAGGTGCCCCCGTAGAGCCGCTCGATATCAGCTGGGTTCAGATCAAACTTGAATCTCTCGGGGTTGTTGGAAAGGAGGAGACGGCACACATGGCCGCGACTGGAGCAAGCAACGTTGAAGTGCGCACAACAGCTGCGCAAGGCGCGGGTCCGATCTTCACCAGCCAGGCCAGCGACGTCGATGCTCTGTGTCAAACCTTCCAGCAAAAGGTTAATCGCCACTGTGCTGTAGATGGTTCCTTTCACCTCTGCAACTCCTTTTTCTGAGGGCATGCTCAATGGCCAATTTGTGTCTCTGACGTGCCAATTGACGAACCATGGATGTGTGATGTGATTCCAAGTTGTTGCTTTCTGGTTCTTTGCCTGCCAGAGTTTGCCCAGCATCACCGGTACGTCGTGCAAGTCCGTGAGGATGGTAGCCATCTCTTGCTGCTGGTGCTGCAAACAGGATTCGATGAGGTCGGTCACCCGGTCGATGAATCTGGCCATGTCTGAGTTTGTGTTCAGCAGGCTTGCAAGCAATAGGGCGGCGAGCGGCGTGGATCCAACAGGCTGCGCAGCGGCGGCGAGTCGGCTTTCTGCGTCGGCAGTAGCCCAAGTTGGAACTGGTCCTGCGTCAGCCCAGACTCCCTTTGTTTCTTCTGCAGCTTCTTTTTCATACTTCTTGTTGTCTTCTGTGGTTTCTTCTTTCGCTTCTGTGATCGCTGCCTTTTTCTCATGTGTTTCCATTGATTCTTCTGGTTCGTCCCTGTGTTTGTCGAAGTGGCTCCTGACTTCTGGCGGTCCTTGGAAATGAAGCTGTTTCCTTTTGTGGTTCTTGCAGAATTTGCAAACCAAATAGTTTGAGCCATCTGTGGCGATGCGAAGTCCGAGAGGAATGAATCGTCGCAGTTCCGACGGGTCCAGGTCTGCGTACCAAGGCGTTCGGGCTAAGTCGTGAATCTTCTCAATACTTTCTGATGTTAGTTCCATGAAGGCAGGCGGGGCCGAATCCCTGGTATCGCTGCTGGAGCTTGCGGCTGTCTCTGCTGGAGCCAGCGTGCTGCCAGAAGATTTTTCTTGCGCAGTGCAAGCAAGAAGGGCTTCGAGGTGGGTTTTGAAGCCGTGCTTCCATCCCCAAGCACGTGTGCACGCAAAATGCGGCAAGTCGTGCGGCAGCGACATCACATGGCCATCCATAGGCACGGCAATTCCCTGGGCGTCGACCATCTGCTTCTGAGTTGCACCTTCTGTTTTCAAAAGCATCTCTAGGAACAAGAAAATTGGACCATATGTTGGAGTCCAATTCCAGCCGTGCTGCGGCTCGTTCCCGTTGAGGTCATTCTTGATCAGGTTCCAGAGATGTCTGCAGAATAACATGTAACATTTGGATAATTGAGTTTGTCTTGTGTTGCAGCAGTGTCGGATGGCTGCGGTCATGAGCGGATGCATTGGGCTGCAATCCAGAATGCAGCCCTGGAAAATGTGGTCTTTTTTTTGCCCAATGGCTAAAATCAGATGCGGTGTCTGAGCTATGCTCTGCACACCGAAGGCCTGAGCTATGCTCTGGCCCGTCTCTGTAGCATCCCCCTGACGGTAGATGTCGCTGAGCGTTTCTTGGAGGGGTCTCAACAATGCCATCTTGATATCCAAGTAATTGCCGCCACGACGTCCCAAGCGCACGTAGCGCCAAAAGTCGGCCTTGTGTGCTCCACGTTGGAATGTGTTGTATCTGTCAAGGAGGTCTTGCCCCCCCAAAGAGAAAATGTCAGTGGCGCAGCCATTATCCGGGACGAATTCCCGAGTCAAATGGGGAGCAAATCGGGACTTGTTCTCTGCAGCCTGGTCGTGGTCCTCTGTGTTGGTTTGAAATAGCAGAGGCGGAGGCTGTCGCAGGCAATGGCAATAGACTGCGAAATCTACCTTCTCACTGCTGTGCTGAAACACAGCTACCTTGAAGCTCTTCCAGTCCTGAGCGTCACACAGGTGGCGAAGGGCCAGCATCTCGTCTATGTGTTCTTTTTCACTCACATTCCAGCCCGCGCACACCAGCACTGGGAAGCGCTCAGCGGGGAAGTCTTGCAATGCGACTTGGACAACTGTTTGCATCGCTGTTGATGCCACGGCTGCCTTGAAGTGCAAGGTCCTGCCTTTGTAAGCTTCTGGAGCAATGTGCATGATCGGTGTTTTTGTTTCCGGCACCTGCCATTGGTCGCGGCCGCGTTCCAATGCGTCATAAGAACGCTGTGGGACCGAGTCTCTTGCAGGGACTGCCTTGCAGCAGACGGCAGCGTCTTGGTGCAAGAAGTCTGGATTTTCTTTGATCCAGTTGGACAGCAAGGTCAGTATGCTCGGGCCTGAGGTTCCCTTTCTAATCAAGCTGCCTCCGCAACTTATGAAGGCAATCGTTTCCTGGACCACCTCCACACCGTTGCCGGAGACAGCCCGCGAAGGTAGCCATCCATAAGCTGTGGAGTCTGACAGCAGAAACCTTTTGGCCATGGCGGAGCAATGCTTGGGGTCTTTGTGGGAAAGAGTGCGGCATACCATTTGTTGCTTTGTTTGCTTGTGCGAAGTGTGTCTTTTGCTTTGTTTGTTATGTGTCCTGTCATGTTTGCATGTGTGTAGCATGCAGCATATCAGGTAATGTAGCATGTGGCATGTTTGAAGGTGTGTCCGGTGTGTATCAGCTGAGCAAGTCTTCGCCTGCTGTTTCTCTGAAAAATAAGGTGGCAACGGCATACATCACGTCAATCAGAAGCAAGGCTCAACTGCGCGATAATGTATGCCAGCATTCATCATTTCTGGGACACTGCTGCCTGGAGAAAGTGGAAGGTGTTCGTCAAATGCGCACTCGATCTCCTGGAGTAAGGACTTCTCTGAGGACATAGGATATATGTATATATATATATATGGACACCCAAGACCTGTTGTGAGTTTGTGTGAAACGAAAAGAAGTGAACCCCTGAAAAAGCGTAGTGCTTTTAGGTGCACAAGAAGTTTTGTAACCTGTGCACTGAATGTGGAAGGCTTGACAAAGTGTAATTCCACTGGACCTTAGTCGAGCAACGGTGTTTGACAGGGTGGCAAACGCGAACAGCAAGGGCAAGGTCGAGCTGTTTTGTCGCGGCCGAGCAACAGCAATGTCCCAATTGCTGTCAGCGGTCAATATAGAATAGCACATCTGAGCTATGCTTTGTGCAGCAAAAGAGTTTGGATTAAATCTATACTAATGTTGGTTCCTGATTAGTGTGAGGCTCCCTCCTCTCTTCTCTCTTCTGAACAATATCTGGACCTTATTTAAAGTTGAAAGTCAAAATTTTATTCCCAAGAGAAAAGCAAATTTCACTTAAGTAAGGATTGCAATTGGCTACAATTGAAATTTAATTAAAAGTGTGTTTTTCCGATGAACTTGTGGTATTTGCAGTACTGGTAGTATTTGTAGTACTTGTAGTACCTGTAGTACCTGTAGTACTTGTAGTACTTGTAGTACTTGTAGTGCTTGTAGTACTTGTAGTAACCACAGATTGCATAGCTTGCTACAATAGTGAACTTAGCAAAGAAACCTACTAAAGTGAAATGGAGCCTCTCCTGGCCCAGGGCCTTGGAAAATTGTGGAAAAGCTGGTCTTTAATAAGGGTTTAATAAGGCATTGGTCCCTTTGGGAAAGGCTTGGAGTTTGAATTTGGCAAGTGCTTTTGAAAAAAAGGTCGACCTCTCAGTAATTAGAGGTTGTTTGTTTTGGGAAAAAAAACTCTTTTTGAGGCCACAAAAGCGAACTCTCCAAGCAATACATGGGTTTCACAATAAGTTGGAAAATTTACCACAATAGCGAACTTAGCTACTAATCAGAGACCAACATGAACTGTTTCTGCACTGTCATCGGTTGCAGAGATCTGCGGGTGAGCTAGGTTCCAGCCCAAATGTTAAACAATGGTTATCTTTCAAGTGGCTGAGTGCCAAAACAGGATCGTTATTTGGCCACGGCATAGTTTTACCTGGCCTCAGGCATCCGGAAAGGAATCAGCGTTGAGGTGGAGTTTTTTGATCGCTTCGAGCGCGTCTTTGTCTTGATTAATCTCTGGCCAGGGGCGCTTGGCAAAGAGTATGTTGGAGTGACCACCTCCTTGATCTTTTTTCTTGGCCTAGAAGGCAAGTGGCTGAACGGAGACCAGCAGCTATATCGGCAAGAGTTGTAAGTGAGCGTGGGACATGTAGGAAATGAACGCAAGGGTGCAACATGTTTGTCCGGATCGCTCTAGTGCGTGCAGTGTCAGTCTGTGTGGGTATCGCGGTGAAAAAAGAATTACTTTACTTCGAGTCATCCCCGCCATGACATTGATACGCTTTGTTACTGGCAAGTCTTCTGGCATGTACTTTGACATTTTATCTGGCATACCTTCTGGCATTCTATCTGGCATTTCTTTGGGCATTGTATCTGGCATTTCTTCTCGCATTTTATGTAGCATTTTATCTGGTATTTCTTCTGGTATTCTATCTGACTTTCTTTTTTTTCGTCCTATTTGGCATATCTTCTGGCATTGTATCTGGCTGTAGAGGTCCAGCGGTGCGAACGGAGCTCGGAAGGTCGCAGGTTGAGGTCCAGCGGATCTCGCTGATGTCGCAAGGTCCCAGGTTGAGGTCCAGCGGTGCTGGCTTGGATCGGAAGGTCCCAGGTTGAGGTCCGGCGGTGCCCACGCCCATCGCGCGCCGGTAGTTGTGGTCCAGCAGTGCCCAGTGCGCGTGGAAGTTAGCGAAGAGTTGTCAAGGCGGAGGTGGAGGAGAAACTGTGGGAGGCGGAGAGGAGGAAGAGGAGGAGGCGGAGGAGGAGGAGAACAACTGCATCGCTGCTTTGTTACTGCGTGCGTACTGAAGAAAGACCTAGTGTCTAAGTGTGCTCAGAATATTTAGTGTGAATATTGGTGTG